AAATAGTCGCATTGCCTGTCAGGGGTTCAGCATAGGAAGTGTGGAGTGGGGAGGGAGGCACAGCTCAGTCCACAGCAAACTTATTGTGTGACAAGGCAAGTGATTTCCATCGGATTTTTCCTTTCTGTGGGTGGCAGTTCATGCCTGCTGTTACCTCAAGGTTACCAGTACGTCAAGCGATATGGAGGTTTATATGTTGAAATGTTTGAAGTGCCATGTATATGTCATTATTTTTATTAATTTCTGAATCTCATAGTTACTGAGGGCAGACTTTTCTTGTTATTCAGACTCTCTTTTCCTTACCCGAGTGTTTCTGGATGACAGATAGGAAAGCTGGGTAATGATTGTGGCCTCATCCCCTTAAGAAAACAGTATCCTTTGGAGGCAGAAAGTAGCAAGAAGTGGGCATTACACAACAAGAAATGTTGATTTTTCCACGATGATTTTAAACATTCAGAAACTCTTTGAAGAAAAATCAAGAGTTCAGTTTTACTCAGTTTTATTCTGTGTTTTTGAAGCAGAGTTTTTGGATCACATGCATGAAAGGTTAATAGAAGAAAGAAATTTATAAAGGCCCCTCTCTAATTGGAGTACAAAAGAATATTACAAGGTAGACACAGGACAAAGAACAAGAAGCAGTTTTCTCATTTTAAAAAGATTACTTCTGAATTTAACAACCTAGAGTTGGGTGTAGGCAAATGACCAGACGGTCCATTGTGATGCATTGCTGTAAGAATTAGTTTCAGTTATTTCTCTGTGCTGCATTTGGCATTGTTTGCAAAGTGATCATTTAACATGTTTCTTAGTAATATTCTCTTTCTATTATTTTAGAAGCAGCAGTAAATGATACAACTAATATTTTAAAATATTGTAATGGCAATATTTTAAAAAATTGAGCTTATCTATTTGCTCTTCCTTAGGATTATAGCACCTGGAGTTGCTTTGGGAACAGGGGCAATGGGATTCTTTTCAGGGATGTAACACCATTTGGTAGTAGTAATACAACCCACAAGCTGAATGTTTGAGCTGGTGTGTGACAACCATTGATAACTAAAGAAGCTTCCAGGACTCTCCTCTGTGATTGGTTGGCCACTATAAATGGGTACTGGTGGGGCAAACAGGCAGAAGTTAGTTATGAGTGTAGGATTTCCCACATCAAAAACGTGGAATTATAATGTCACAGCTTTCACATTTTTCAGAATGTTGGAAACATCTTTTGGCTGTTCTAGCAAGGTGTTAGGCTGACATACAGGTAAGAGTCAGAGACTTGGAGAATCAAACTCTATAAAGTGGAGTGAACTCTTGGGACAAGGTCATACTTGCTGATGAAAAATCAAAACCAAGAAATGTTAAATGATTGGTCTAAAGTCATCCAACAATTTAGTGATAGAACCATAACTACCCTAGCTCTGTTCTGGTTTAGTACTTCCTATATACAGTAAAGGGACAGGTGTTACAGTCATCCTATGGAGAAATTAAGACAAAGGAAGTTCCTTGGGTAACCACCAAAGCACTGAGGATCATAGACTCAGATCTTGTGAATGTTGAGAAAGGCTTGAGGATTAGGTCTCTCAATGCTGTCTAATCCAATCTCCTGTACACACTTGAATCCAATCTAAACCAGCCCTGCCCAGTGTTCAGTGGATGTTTGCACACTCAGAGTGATGGGACACTAGATCTTGTATCTTTGTTTAGCTCAGATGCTTGAAAAGTTTAGTCTTTTATATTGGGCCTAGCTCATCTTCCTGTAATTTCAACTCACAGGTTTTAGTTCTGCTTTCTAAAGGGGATTCAGAAATCACATATTCCACCATGGGGTTTTTCCCTTTACCCTCTTTCATGTGTAGTACCCTTGTCTTTCCTTAGTTTCAACGCTCCATGTGTTGATAGGGCATATTTAAATGTCCACTGCACCAATCTAATCCACTAATATGCTTACCACCAAGTAATTCAAGTTTATTTTGTAAAACGGCCCTGAAAAATCTCAAAAGGAGGTGAGGATAGGGAAATGAACATTCCTTATAATTCATTTAGGCAAATTTGGTTTCCTTGAGCTCTGTGCAAATGCTTGTTTTCATGTGGATTTTAGTATGACCAATGTAATCAATTCCGCCAAGTTGATTCAACCCATTTTCTAAAACTCATGGTCTGATTTGTTATCTGTATGTGCTTTTGTGATACTAACATTTTCCAGTGTCCGTGGAAATTATGCAAGGTATTTCCATTCTACCTGGTTTTACAAATATACTTTATTAACAATAAAGTATATTTATTTACTAAGTATACTAACTTTACTAAATTGTTAATAAGTTAATATTTATCTCCCTCCCTTCCTCTCTGTCTAAAAATAAATAAATAAAACCTTTAAAAAGAAAATTCTATTTTTGTTTTGAATTCATTCCAATACCAGAAAGTTTTTCTTTGTGATGTAACCCTAAAACCTCTAGCTTGTTTCTCATAGAAAAAAATGGTTATGGCTGGTGAGCACCTCTTTGTGAGCACATAGGATCTTTTCTCTCTGGTGTGTGAGGATGTGAACTTGCCACCAAATAACTGGTGATTGTGGGAGGCCCCTGTAGGTGGGAAGATTCTTACTGATCTGATCACATGCCCTATTTTACCCAAATGAATAAAAGTCAATTAAGGGATAGAGGTAGTGCTTGTCAGCACGTATTTGTCTGGTTCAGCCTCTGCCTCTGCACATGTTGGGGCCAAATTTGATATTTTATGGTAATGTTTTGGAGTATAAGGCTAGTAACCTTATAATGACATTAAGAATAAGAAGCAACTCTATAAAATCAATAAGTAAAGAATGGAATTTATGATAAAACTTCTGAAATACCTCATACTTAATGAAAAAATTGACTTTGCGTTAGGTTGAAAATTATTCTTAGAAAATGTTATGGGCCAGTATCATAGGATTCAAGTACAAGACTACCTTTGGATCAGGTCTGGACCAATATGCACTAGGTTTCGCTAGGGGCAATTAAAATATATCTAAAGCGCATTTAAAAATGAGCATAGTTTAGACTATTTAATTTATGATGTGCCTTGGTGTAGCTTCATGTTTCTTGGGTATATAATTTTCATCAAAGCTGTAAAAAATTCAGTCATTATATCTTCAGATGTTTTTCTCTCTCTCTTTTCTTTCTAGGGCTTCAGTTACTCACATATTAAGCTGCCTGAGGTTGCAGCTCACTGATGCTCTCTCTCCATCTTTGTAGTCTTCAGAGGCAGATGACTGCTAGTTCTCTCCACTGTAGTTTTCCACTGAGATGTGTTTTTCATCTTCGGGAGTTTGGTCGAGGTCGCTTTCGTGTCTTCCACGTCTCTCCTTACCGTGTTCCTGACTTTCTCTGTTGTCTGGACCATGTGCGGTGTATTCACAACAGCTGTTTTGCTGTTCTTTTCTCTTAGTGACTGATGTTTAATCTGGGGTTCTGTTGGCCTTGATTGATTTTTTTCTCCTCACGACGGGTCATGTTTTCCAGCTTCTTTCATGACTTAGTGAATATGGGTACTTGACATTGTGAATTTTATGTTGGTTACTGCTGGATTCTTTGTACTCTTGTAAATACTTTTCAGCTTTGTTCTGCGACATTCAAGTAAATTGGAAATAGATTGATTCTTTTCAGATTTGACTTTAAGTTTTTTTAGGTAGAACCGGAGCAACTTTTGGTCTCGGGCTATTTGCCCCCACCACTGAGACAATATCCTCTGAGTTTCCTACCTGTTTGCCTTATATGTTATGAGGTATTTTGGTGGGTGTTTTTTAAAAACTCTGGCAGCTGGGAGTGTGAACTATTCCCAGCCCTGTGTGAGCTCTGAAAATTATTCCACTTGCTTTATTTCCAGCGGTTCTTTTTCCCACCGTGGCTAGTTTTTCCCTGTGCATGTGTTGATCAACTAACTCTCAGGATAAGACTTGAGGGGCACCCTCTGCAGACCTTCAGAGTGCTCTTCTCTGTACTCTGGGACTCTGTCCTCCCTGTGAATTCCAGCCGCTTTGCCTGCCCCAAACGCTCAACCTTGTCTCTCAACTCGGGCAAACCACCTTATTTACTTTCCCTTCTCTTAGGAATCATTGTCCTGGCGCTGCCTGTTGTCCAATGTCTGAAAACTACCATTTTATATATTTCTCTGTTTTTTTTAGTTACTCCATCATGGCCAGAAGTGGCGCCCTAAAAGTCAGTATACTTTCGGATTCTTAAGTCAGAAGAATGGTTTCCCACTTTCTAGTAGTATACCCTAAAAATGTTTAATACACTGTACTTAAAGGCATTTATGTGAACAATAGAAATCTTTCTTTGGGGAAATTAAAACAACAAAACTTGATTGCATATCATTTCATATTTTGCAGATGTTAATATTTAATCATATGCAGAGCCATTTAGCTTAAGTGCATTAATGTAACTCATTTAAAAGAGGCCAGTAATTGTCCTATTAACTCCCAGTCTGGATGTTATCTGCTCTGCCCTGCTGGTAAGGCCAGAGGGGGACTCTTCTATTGGCACCCACAGAGAGTGCTCTGATCTGTTGAAAATCCTGTTAAAATCTAATTACTTAGGAGAATCAGCCAGGGAATATCTAATGAGCTCTAGGAAACCTGCTAGAAGAAATTCTGTGTTATTAACGAATGAAATGTCTTCTGTCTTTCAATTATCCTGGTAGCACATGAACATAATTGCTGCCTTATAAAATGTGACTCTTGTTTGCTGTGTTTTAATTGTGTCATGAATTTTTTGATAATTTGAAAATAACTTAATTCCCCATCGAGGAGAAATGACAGTGTAAAGCTTAAATACCTGTGTTTCCTTTCCTCACAGATATTTGATAACTTGTAATTAAATGCTTTAAAAAAAGTATGCACATTATTTTGTGAAACCACTCTACAGGTGTGAAAAACTTGATGGTGAAAAGACCTTGAATTTTTAGTCTAGACTGAAAGCATGATCGGCAAGAAACTCTGAAAGGGATTATTCTCTGAAATCATCTTTAAAATATTGTCAAAAGAGACTAATTTCTTAAAAATGAAAATTCTCTCCTCAGTTTACAATACACCAAACAGGAGCTCAGGGTTGCTGTGTGGAGGGGCACAGAACTCATGCCCTTCCTGTGAGCAGACACCCTACATATGGGGAAAAAAAGAAAAGAAAATTTCTTTGTCTTATTTGTTTTGTAAATAAGACTTAGTATAGTTTATCTCTTTAACGATTAGCAGTATCTTTTTTTCTCTATAGTCAAACTTGATTTGTATTTTAACTTTGTTGACTTTCTACTTCTCCATATTTAGGACTTAGTTTTCTTAAAACTGGATGGTTAGTTATGACTATGGGCTTTGGACTCAGATAATAACCTGAGGTATTTAAATTCCAGTTTTTCTATTTGCAACACATTTCTTATCTTCTGAGTCTCAGTTTCCAAGGGGCATACCAATTAATATGCACATAACTGCAGTGAAGGTTTTGTGAAGTAAACCACGTAAAGTGCTTAGTACAGTATCGGGTATGTTGTGACGCTCAAGGGGTGGTAGTTATTGTTTTTGAAGACTAATTAAAATTTGGAATATAAAAGAATTGTGATATCTAAGATTCATTAAAAGCTAATGTAGGGTGAATTTCTATTATCCTAATGTATTTCTATCACCATATTCATATTCAATTTCTTGAAAAAATTATAAAGGGTCTATTTTTAGTTGCATGTCAGTGAACTTTGTTCCAAAGTTTATCAAGTTTTTAGCCCATGTGTCATTTTATAACATGGATTGATTCTGGCAGATGACACCAGAAACAAAATGTGGTTTGGTGATACATTACTTAGAAAAATACCTGTCTTAGTGATAAATTATTATTGGAATATTATATAAGATTTTAATGATTGAGGAGAAGAAAGACTATTACATATTATTTCAACAATTAACAATGTAACTATTATTTAAAACTATTATCTGGCCTATAGAACTCTGGCAGTTGAAATACTTAAGTTGACAATGCTTTTATTTTTAATCATTGGATAACATGTTATAATTAGACTCTCTTTTTTGCCTAAAATATAGGTTAAAACATTTTTACTTAGACTATTTGGAAGTTGGTATATATATAAGCAGCCTTATAAAGTGGTATATGATAATTGGACAAAGATATAGAATTATTATAACAATGTTTTCACTTGGAATAGGCTTTTTAATACTTAAAATCCTTTCTCATATAACTCATTAATTCTTACAACAATTTTATGAAATAGTCATACAGTACCGTATTACAGGCAATATAAGGAAACTGAATTTTTGTATATTCATAGCTCTGATTATATTTCTAGCATAAAAGATACACATAAATTAATGTATAAATTAGGATGGTTCAATGAAAGAATATTTAAATACAGGATGGGGCAAAAGATTTACAGTTGTAAGTACACAAAACAAATAGTTTATTCTTGTATTATTATTTATTGATTATTGTATTATTTTCCATATGAACAACTGTAAACCTACTTTTGACTCACCCTGTATTTAAAATAATTTGCTAACATTTTATTAATTTAATATTTTATATGGATTTGATTTTTGAAAAACTCTGAGAGACAGTGGTGTTATTTGGTCGGGAAAGATGTTAGAATTGATGAGTTTATGATGATGTACTATTTGTTTAAAAGTTTATGTATAATAAATAAACACAGTGAACATAGTTTATCTGGCAGGAATTATTATGCTATAATCAAGGAGCAAACACCAGCTAATTTGTTCATTCAACAGATATTTATTTGAGGGCATATTTGCTGGAATGGGAATGTAATGTTGAACAAGACAGGCAGGGAAGAAGAATTAGCAGATTCATTATTAAAGCTAATATTTTGCCACAATGTCAGTTCATGAAACTGTTCACTAAGCTGAAAAGTTCCTGGCAGAAAGTGCTTCGGTTGTTGATATTAGCATGTGAAACCACTGGCCAAGCCTGGCTTTGCTGGGCCTTCTATACCACACAACTTGATTAAGTTAGCACACTTTCATCAGTTTCTGTTGATGACAGAAACAAACACTTGACCTTGAAAACAGAAGTAAAAAAAAAGATGTAGTCTTACATCTTTCCCTGTGCCTTTGCAATAAACTCTCTGCCTGTCACACTTCAAATATCCAGATCTCTGTGACACACGTGACCTTGCTCCCCCACCACCCCCTCCCCACATCATCCAATACACACACTTCTAGAACTTTGTGGGGTGTGTATTAATATGTCATAGGTGCTCAGTGAGTGCTAGTGATTAGTGGAATTGATAAACCTCTTATTGTATTAGGTCATAGTCTTAGTTCTGTTGTTGATTCCTCTGTGATAATCAGGCATAAAGCCAAGTCATAGGACCCCTTGATTTTCCTATATATAAATATGAACACTGTGTTTTCCAAAAACCTGATTAAAATATACTGAGGATTGTGAGATATTAGTTTGAATCATATGGGCTTGTGATATTTAATCATCTTTTGACTCACAAAAGTAAAAATTTTATTTGATTCAACCTAGTATTTTTCCTAAGTTGTTTTTAACTTGACCAAAAATGTAATATAATTGTCAAAATAATGACAACTCCAAATATGTTAATTACATCACTGCTTATAGTTTTCTTTCTACCTTTCTGCCTATTTCACCTTGATTGCTGATTTTGGCCTTGCTGTCTTTACTGAATGATATTTTATTACAAAAAATTTATTGCATAATATACCTGTCACTCCAAATACTAAATTATATATTTTTCAGTGTTAATGAGTCTCGAGTCCATAGGGCTAGGTCTAGCAAGCAGTATTATTTGACCTCTTTAAAAACATTTAGGTATCAGGAGATAGTGGGTAGTATTTAATTTCCAAATTTAGTTAGTTTTAAACATTATAATTTTTAACATAAAAAATTTTTTACTGTTTCTGACAAATTATAAGTTTTCATTAGTCTAATTTAAAAATTATTTTTGCGTTTACTCTGAAAGCTAAAATTTTAAGCTCTGTTCCATTAATTTCTGATTTATTCAGATAATACTATAAATAAAATTATAATCTTAACAAATTATAGTTATGAAAAAACAATTTTTCTCCAGAAATTGTAGTTTATCTCTGAAGAAACTGAATATTGCAAAGTTTACTTTTTTTCTGAAAAGGCCATAGGTGATCATTCTTTTTTTTTTTTAGATATAAAGCAACCCCCTGAATGAGCTACAGCTCCCCCAAAGGAAAGCCCAAGATGCTCTGTGTCACATCTTAAGGAAAGGCAACATAATTTTATTTGCCCAGCCCAGGGCCTCTGGCAAGATGGCTGGAGAACAGAGGTGTAACCCAGCCCTTTATTCGAACACCATGATGTTCTCATAGTTAGGCCAAGAGTTCTGAGCAAGTAACTCAAGTGAATGGTCCCCAAATTCAGGGCTTGTGAAAAGGCTTTCACTAACTGGCAGCAAAATGAGAAAAATAAGGATAACATTGATTTTTCATGAAGCTAAATTTATTGAATTGAAAGAACAGTTTACATTCATAAAGGAAACTTTTTTGTTGGAGTCATGTTATATTAGCCATATTAGAGTGCCTTTTTTTACTTGGTAATACGCATTTGAGTTTTCATCATATAACATAACTTATCTTTTATAACATTATAGTCAATGATTTTTTCATTTTTCCTATTTATTCCAATAGTAATCCTATGTGACTCCCTGAAATATTTTTGAAATGTTTTTAAACTCTAAAAATCTTAAAAGTACCTATTTTATATATATGTTTTCTCACCAGTTAAATGGAAGTAAGGATTCTTATTTCATTGGGTTAGTGTTAAGATTAAACGAGATACAGAGGTGGAGGTACTTCGGATAGTACCTGACACTGGATGCTTCCAGCTTTAGTCCAATCTAAAGCTCTGGTGGAAGCCCCCAGGTTTCATCCAGTTTTCCTTTGAGGAAAGTGAAAATGGTAAGTTCAGACTGGGACATTACTTGGCACAGAGTCGATGCCAAAAATTATTTTTTGAGCCTGTGGGACACTAATTAGAAGAGTATTGTAGGCAGGTGGGTATGAGGGCCAGGATTCTAGAAAGGGCCATGGACAGGAAAGCATCAGTGCCTGGGTGTAACTGAAGTCGGGGAAGTGTGGAGACGAGAGGACCTGGGATGCACATCAGGCCTTCAAATCCCATGAGGTCGTGTTGCCTTCCCAACGTCCATGTACAAGAAGCCCAAAGGTCAGGGCATCGTACACCATCCTTAGAGCAGTTGTTTCTACCGTGCTCCTCTTAATCTGGGGGCTTTCTATCCTAGATGAAAATATGAAAATCTTCGGACTCTTCCTGTTCAATCCTTAATTCCAGAGCTAGAACCTCATTTCCCATGAGGTCTCAGCCACTCTGGTGCTGTTGGCACTAAAGATAGTCCTTTAGGGTGAAAAATTATGTCAAAACTAAGAAATTATTTACAGGTTCTTGAATCAAGTGGGGTTATTCCCTGATAACAAGTATACTCTTCTCTGAAGAATGGCTCATTAGAGAAGCATGCCTTCTTGAGCACGCAGCTTGAGGAGATGCATGTGCAAAGGTAAGAGAGGAAGGAGACACTAGCCTGGCCACCCAGAACTAATGAAGCCAGCTTGGCAATCAATGGTGTGACAGATGTTGTGGCCGCATCCCTCTCGCACCCAGCGGAGATGCATGGTTTTCTTGCTCCTGTGTAAAAGGGCAGCCAGAGAGACCTTTTGTGCAGCCCAGCCTTTGTTACCAGCTGTTTGGCTGTTGGTGGGACTTGTCTCTATTTAGAGTACTTTCCCCATTTTATCCCATGGGACACATTTACTGTACAAACCCCATCCTCATGTACTGGGTCAATCTATTTACTTGAATAGTTCTAAAGTTTTCTTGGCTTAATTTGAATTTTTGGACTTGTTATTGGGAATGGGGGTCTGGCGAGCTGTGGATTTGGCAAAGGCCATATACTGTATCTATACAGTCCCTGTTATAGTGGAGGTCAGGGAGATGGTGTGATAGATCGGTAAATTGCAGCATTTATGGTAAATGCAACTTCTTTACACCCCTAAAAGTCAATCTGTCTGCACGTCCATTGTGTCTTCCATTTTAAACGTCCTTCAGTCTAAGGCTGATCCCTCTATTTGTGCTCTG